AAGCAGTCGTTGGTGTCATGGCCGACCTCCTCATGGAACTGACAGAATTTATTCTTGTTCCGTGTCTGAACAGAACTCTTCATAGGATTCGGCTTCTCAATGGACAGCCGGTCCTTTACCTCCATGAAGATGGAGTTGCAGTCTTTATTAAACTTTTACTTGGGGACGTACGGTTTAAATTCTTTCTTTTTCTTTTTGGACGGCTGGTCAGAGTCAGTAACCGCTCAGACTTCTTTTCTTTTCTTGCTCTCTTCTTTGTTTTTAGCTGGCTGAGCTGACCGGCTGTCTTTTTGTTTGTCAGACTTCTTGGAGTCTGACTGACTACCAGGCAAGCAGAGGTCAGTAGCTTGAATGTAGCTTTCCGCCTCCCTTAGGGCCGCCTGTAGGGTGAAAGCCCCTTTTCTGACTAGGTCGAACTTAAAGGTCGACCCGTCACTCAGACCTTTAAAAAAGTCTGTAAAGGCTACCTTATCAGACAGCCCCTGAATCTGAATTCTGATCAGGTTGAACCGCCTGACATATGAGCGCAGCCCTTCTCTCTCTTCCTGCTTAACAGTGCTCAAATCAAGGCTTGTTTTCTTAGCAGGGATGTTCATTGAGAAGTTGGAAGCAAATAGGAAGGCAAGCTTCCTGAAGCTATCTATGGACCCGGCTGGCAGATTGCCAAACCATTTTTGGGCAATGCCCTTCAATGTAGCCGGGAAGCATCGACAACAAGTGGCATCATCCAACCTCTGCAGATACATGAGGTTGGTGTAAGCCATGAGGTGATCTTCCGGATTGGTGATACCATCATAGGTACCAACCAACACATTCTTAACCTTGGTCGGCTGTGCCGCCTCTGTTATCTCCCGAGTGAACTCAGAAGGTTGTTCACCTAGGCGCAGCAGACGAAGCATCCAGTCCAATGGCTGGACATTTGGATATGCCGCCTGACCCCCAAAGAAGGTCGGCTGCATGAAGTGAGGAGGATACTGTCCGTAAGCCTGAGTAGGCACATACGGTACATTTCCAATCATATGAGGGCCAGAATGGACGGTATTACCGCCTGTCTGACTCCCATGCAAGGAGGGCGCACTCCCTGCAGAAATATTGTTGAAGATGTTTGGAAAGTTCGACGTTGAAGCCGACTCAGACAACGATTGATTTCTCTTCCGGTTGATGATCTCCCGGGCATCGAGAGTTGATTTTTTACTTCTCACCGGCTGATGAGGCCGGCGAGGGTTATTAGTGTTCCCCCCAAGGAAGGAGAATTTTCGACCAATCGATGGTCCCGGCTGCCTTCTCCTTTGGAAAAGGAGTGGGCTGCCGGTTTCTGACTGACTTCCCCTTCTCTGGAGGAGTCTTCTTTGCCGACTGACCTTTACTTGGGCCAGCCTGGCTTTTGGTGATCAGCTTTGTAATTTCACCCTTGAAACTCGTCATGAACCTCATGAGTTCGTCTCGGGTGACAGGGGCCGATCCAGCTGCCGTTTGGGTTGCCCCTTCCTGCTGCCCAGTAGGTCTGCTCGGACCCGCCTAGGAGGCGCCCCGCTCCAGAGTCTCTCTGGGCCGGATGCGCTTGACTCTGAGAGAGCCGTCCTCGGCTGTAGAGGTTTCGACCTGAGGATCCTCATCCTCCTCATGGTCTGTAAAGACTTCTGGGTCTTCGCCCAGACGGTTAGGGGGTGGTACAGACTCTTGAACCATATTCGAGGTACTATCCCCACAAACGGCGCCAAATGTTTTGGGTGTTTTTGTCCCTCGGGAGAGTTACAACACGAAGACTGATCATGGGTGAGCTGTACCTGCAAAACAAACGGAGACACCAGTTGGGTGGTGCTCCGCCTCCGACGCACAAGTTAGAAACTTGAAGGGAGAAAAAGGTGTGGAAATTTAGGTGGGGATCCGCTCGGATTCCAAGCTCAGGATGTTTCTATCAAAGAGTAAAATGTGTAATAAATGGTAAAAAACGTGTCCTCAAAATGAGGGACATCTCCCTATTTATAGGGTCTTTGGGAATTGTGCCCCTGATTAGGTTACTGAACCCTAATCATTGGTGGGATGCGCCGTTTGGCGGCATTCTCGGGATTTGGGCCTGAAGGCCGCCTTTTTCCCTTGATTTTGGGAATGTTATGGTCGAGCAGGGATTGGTCCATTTTAGACCAATCTGGGGCTGACACGTGTCACCTTCTGATTGGGCTACGTGGTAGGGTAGAATTACCCTAAACACATGGGATTTTTAGCCTTTTTCCACAAGAATTCTGGAAATAATGACCTCTTTTCAAAACATGTAGAACAACCACTATCAGCATATGCACATAATTTATATTTATTATAATCTTCAATGCATATATCAATTGGAATATACATTCTATTAGGATTAGTACTAGATAGTATGTCAGTAAACAATAAAAATCAAAGCTTTAGCCCCAACATGATACTAATATGATAGAAGAAGATAGGAAGCAACCTAATCATGATACTAGAAAGCAATAAAGAACATCCTAACATGATAATAGGAATTTAAATGATATAAACATGCTTTCTGCATGATATAGAGAAATTAAAACAACTTTCTTTGTTGCCTCATATCTCTTTCTAATAACAAAATACACACGTTAGTAACTTCAAGAAAAATATTAAATACTAAATAGGGATTTGGGACCAAAACCTCCGAAATTATCAACCTTTCACGTTTAGGGAGAAGGCAACTTCGAGCTTGGCTAGGTGTGTCTAGAGCTTGTGAATGCGGTAGGGTGTTTGTAAAAAGCTAGTTTAGAAAGCAAGATGAAGAAAGAATAAGCTACTGCTTAAGAGAGAGAAGAGAGAGAATTGTGATGATTGTTGATGAATAAAAAGGGGAAATACGACCCTATTTATAGAGAAAATAGTTTGGAAACGATTGAAAATAGACTGAATTCGACTCGAAATAAAACAACTCCTGTTGCGAAATGACAAGAATCACGTCGTGCGACAATGTCTGTCACAATGCAATAAAACTGTCGTTTGGCGCTGGTTTAAAAGATATAACACGCTTTTTTACAGAATCCTTTTCCTAATCTAATTAAGTAGACTCCGCGTTTATTAGTTATAAAATCAGATTTATCATAATAAAACACTTATTTTATTCCCAATCAAATTCTTTATTATCTAAAATATAATTATTAATCCTAATTCCAATAGAATTTAAAAGAACCTTCTAGATTATTCTAGAATATTAAAGTCAATCCTAATAACTTTAGGAATACTAATTAATAGACCCTCCACTAGATCATTGAGCCGCATATAAAATTCATTTCGAGCCCAACTTAGTATTTTGGCCATGGCTTCCTCATTATTCATCGAAATTGGGCTTATAATATATCATTGAAAAGCTTTTTTCGAGCCTAATCCAAACACACTATTATTGGACCCTTGTCATGGACCAAAATAAATTGGACTGGCGATTTTCATAAATAAAGTAGATTTTTAAAAACTGAAAGAAGGATATTTTAAGAAAAACAACCGCATCACTTAGATTTTCACACTTTCACTTCGTTCGATAATCAATGACATGAAAAATATTCATCACTGGGTTTGGTTTTTGGGGATACATATTTGGGTGTCTACACTTACATCGATGTGTAATAGACCTTGAATTCATATCATCATTTCTCTAAACGATGATTTTGTCAAAATTTTCTAATTAGAATGACATTTACATATTTCAATAGATTCACAATCTAATGATATTGAAAGTCCATATCTTTGGATCTTCCGCATGCAATGTTCATTTTCATTCGAATTAATTGACATTTTAGAGACAATTTATATATATAGAACTGGTTTATATTTATCTATCATATAAAACTTTTGAACCTATGTAGCTTTTCAAAACACATCGTGACTCAATAAAGAATAGAATAACATTTAGTCCGTGTTTTTGAATCTTCAATGCTTAGTCATTACTAACATTGAATGGTTATGTTTTGATAATGGAAATAATAAATAAAATTTATTTAATTCTAGTCAATTACTAGGTAAGGTGAAATATAGGCTCTACATGTAAGGCTACAACTTTTGCTTCAAAACTTGTAGATTCTACTTGTGATGTAATAACATTTGCTTCTAAACTTGTTGATTTATTTCTTCCTAAACCATACTTCTTCATTTAGTTCAACCAAATTCTCAATTAGAGAGAACTAAACATGACATCACATGTCCAATAAGCAGTAATGCGCTATATCAATTTCTATAATATACTTCTTAAATTTGGAACATTTCCATTCTTTTACCTTCCAACTGTATGAGATTGTTTCTAATAAATTGGAATTGGTCCATTTAATTGGAAATATTTGTTGTTCATATCAACTTTTAGCATGTAAGTAGTTCTAGGTTTGAGAAGTAACAACTTGTTTGCATTTCTTGGCCTATAACTTCTTAATGAAATCCTCGTATATTCTTAAACCCTTTCCATTTGAGCCACTTAGAACATTTCTCTTAGGTTCAAAATGATATTTTGCTTAACTACTTTAGCACTTTTTATGATTTTGCTAAGTCTATTCAATCATTATTCATATTAAAGTTTAATCAACTATTTAACTCCATACAAAATGGATGAAGAATAGTGTCATTTGATCAACTTTTGATCATAGAAATTTTCAATCACTTTCTTATATTTAATCATATTGAAGATAAGAGATTTTATTGGACTTCTATACTTGTATTTTAGAGGGTTTGAGCCTCCCATCTCATTATATCACTTGAAACACTTTTCAACATGAAGATGTTTTGGTATTCAAACGTTTTGAATAAAGCCAACCTTAGACATGTGACATGAGTTTCTAAAACTTGCCTTCACTACTACATTTTTGACCAAATGCAACGGCCTAATAAAGGCTAATGCAACGGTATTTTAATTGCCGTTGCAATAGAGTAGGCTATTGCCATGGATTTAACACTAATGTTCTTAGAGGTAGAGCTATTGCCACGGCTTTAAAAGAGCCGTTGCAATAGCCTAGCTATTTTTAAAAAAATGAGAGCTATTGCAACGGTATGTGTTGTATTATGAAAAATTTAGAAGCGCGCATTTCTTCCCTCTATTTTTTTCACCAAATATTTGAACAACACTTGTCTTTAATTTGCTTCCCTCTATTCACAATTCTCAAGTACAGTACCATTTTCCCCCTTTTCTCTAATTTTCCCCATTCTCACCTTAATTGATTATAGAGGACCATTTTCACAGTACCATTTTTCCAATTTCTCCATTTTCTCATCTTCTCAGATCTCATATTTTCACAGTAGATGAGAAGGAGTACGTTTTTGTTGTAGTTGTTGCATCTGATTTAAAACCCAGACCTCAAAACTACCAACAATGGTGCAACCACCGCATGCACCACCACCGCGCTCATATACCGACCTCTTCGGCGGCCCAATCTACGATTTAACCCCTTTATGGTTCAAGAACAACCTCTTTCTCCCTCCTTTCGACTCCGAATCCTACATCTCTAACCTTCAAACCCATTCCTCTCTCGCTGCACTCAATTAATCTCAAGTTACTGGTATGTATTTTGAAACAATTAAATTTATTCTAGTATAATTTGTTGAAAATGGCTCTATTTAGTTGTTAAATGCTATAATTTCTCAAAAATTAAGCTACTATTTGTTTAATTAGGGTTCTCGTAAGTAATTGCTTCAATAATTCTGATGTCATCAATTTTGTTAAACTAATTTTGCATTTTTGCTGGTTTGATTGAGAGAAAGAGAACGATTAAGGTGAGCAATCTTCTTAATACTCTTCATGTTCTACAGTCTTACCGTAGTACTACATTTTTTTTATCTTATTTATGGTTTCCTTGCGTTTTGTTTAAATTTTTGTGTTTTCAATTTTTCTGATTCTGCTCAATTTTTTTTATTCTTTACTATTCAATTGATCTAAATGTATTGGCTGACGAGATCATTGAATTGTTTGTGAGATAATTGCAGCCCACCATCCCATTATTGAGTCTTCAGAAGCAGGTGCATGAGCAGTTGGTATGCTGGAACCTACAGGTTCTGCTTTTTGGCTAATACCTTGTAGTTTTTTTCGTAGTATCCTTTTTAACTTTAGTTGTTTAGTGTATGTTTGGCTTTAGGCTGTACTAGTTCTGTGGCTTTCTTTTTGGTGAATGTTTTATTTCACAGCATGCATATTCTCTTATGATTACCGATCTTCCACTGCTCTCCTTTTCAACACTTCCCTCTTTCAAACAAAAAATGAAATAGAGGGTCGTAATTGCTTGAAAACCAAACCCAATTTCCTCGGCTTTCTGTAATTCCTCTTTTTTCACCCTTTGATTTGGATAATGAAGAGTCAAGGATAGATTGATAGTAGTCTTAGTAGATTCTTAATTTTTCTCTTCAATGTGAATTAAGGCAACGACACTTGGGCGATATCAATGTCTCATGCTTTGGTGTGTCAAACGGATTTATGGAAGTTGTTCACTAGGACAGTGATGTATCATACTATAGAATTTCTGCCTAACTTACTTTGCCTATTAAAAATATAGAATAACATGCTCAGAAATACAGCAAGGTTCAGTACACTTGTTGAATTGGTCCCCGCAAAACTATGAGGCTAGGGCGGGATGAAAATTAGAGGTAAATTTAGGTGCATGGATGCAAACTAGTGTCAAGTAAATCTAATAAGTCATAAAAATAATATGCCAAGAATTTGGGCATCTTAATATGAATATCTTGCATTCTTGTCAAACTTTTGGGACGGTAGGTAGAGCCAAAAAAAAATCTCTTGGTAAACCGCATGCTCAAAAGGTACTGTATATATTAGGGCCAACTTTTTAGTTGAGGTTTCTAATCTTACTTAAACAAGTAGTATATCATATCGATGACTATTTCATGGTTTTTTTTTTTCTGTAAGTTCATGAGCTCATCAGAACACTTAGTCTTACATAGTTCAGTATACTGTCATGTATGAGCTTGTGTCAGAATGTTGGAAAAAGATATTATACCTCCTGTTTTTATGCCTAGTTGGTATTTTAACTTGTCATGGCTGTCGTATGAGAAGAAATGGAGAATGCAACATGCATATAGAGTTACGTTGGTTCTGATGTTCTGTACTTTTTGTTGATGCCTCTGTTTAGTATTATTGAGTCTTTGTTTGTTTACGTTGCATAAAAGTGGTTGCACTCGTACTATACGTTGTAATTTTTCTCTAGGTGTTTCGGGGTGCTGGTTGTTCGTGTAAGTTGTACCCTGTTGTAAGTACAATAGGATGCATTGTTCAGTAAATTAAGACAACTAATTTTCATACTGAAACTGAAGTTAACTAGCTACTTAGACTCTCAAGTAACGAGTTTCTTGCCTTTTTCATACGAACCCCTTAAAGACTCATTTCTAGTTGCTCTTCTAGAGATTGCAGCTCCTCTATGTTTAGACCGGAGAGCTTTTGTCCCATAAGTTGCCTGCCTTATCAGAATGGAAATGAAGTTATTGGAGTTTTACTGGAAAAACGAGCTTGGTTTAAAGAACACTGTGACGAAAATGATCTTTACCTACATTGATTACTCAACTGGAACAAATGAATTGCAATTTAGATAATTAGAATATTTAAAATGTCTGATCTTACATACATTTCTGTGTAAATTAGCTTAATCGATTATTTGATTATAGTTTAGGCTTAAATAAGCTTGCCTATCATACTGTTGTTAGGTTTTCATATTTATAGTTTTTATAATTAGCTATTGGTGAGTACATTTTGGATTTAAAATTCTCAGTATATGCCATTGTGCTGAAGAAAAGAAAAAATAATATGAATGTTCTTGGTTAAAAAGTGAACTTTGAGTTTGTTTGTTGCTGTGTGAAAAATCGTGTCTTAGGGGGGAAAAATTATATTAGTGGAGGCATCATTTTGGTTTGGTTCCCGATTTATAGATCTTAAAGTGACGGGTTTTGTTTGGTTTGTATTAATTGGATCATTAAATGGTACATACTTTAGGAGCATAATATAGAGGAAATGTTGGCTTGTGCGATGATGTATTGTTTATGAATGAGTTTGTCTTTTACTGCCTGTTATAGTGAGCTTAGCAGAATTTTGTGTTGCTTGCAGGTGTTGTTGTGCTATATAACTTGGTCCTCGTTCTACTCAGATTTCCGCAGGTATATACTGTCCTTAGCGTGATCTGCTATATACATTCGGGTTTAGTATGCTCTTTTAATTGCTGAAAAGTAATGTTCTGATTATACTGAGAATTTATATGTTATTCTGTTTACTTGTTTAATAATTTATATGTTATTCTCTTTACTTGTTTAACAATTTTGGTTTATGTAATTTATGAAAAACAAAATTCTAGGGTTTATGTAATTTATGAAAAACAGAATCCAGTAAGTTTCAATTTAATATAATTTGTTTTCGACTTGTTATTGGATTCAATTCGTTTTGTGTTCTCTTCTTCTTGTGTATTCAGGTAAGAAGCCCCTGGTTATACAATGAAAAATAAAAAATATCACCCCTCTGAGTGAATGGGCAGCGTATAATTTTCTTCACCCTAATTTGTATGAAGTTGCTGAATTTACTTCTGAGATGAAGCGAAATTGGGTTTATAATTTGAGTATTCCTCAATTTTCATACTTACTCTCCAAGATCCGCTCTCTTCATACTTTAATTTGTAAGGATATAGAGCTTTATTATAGGATACCTCATGCCTGTGATGTTTGGATTAAGAGATAGAATGACAGGTATGTGCTTCTCTGTCTTCTTTTTTCGTGTTTCACTGAATCGAATTTATTTTTGTATGCATTGATAAATGATGTTTGTTTGATTGGTACACTTAATTTGTTTGTGCTTTAAGGAAATTGCCATACCAAGAGAAGCATGTCCGCCAACAGGCATCGATTCTTGGCAACTTGGAGGATTTTGGGGTTTTGTCTGAGCAATACTGTCAATCTGATCTCTCTGCTGTTGTTGAGTTTGGAGCTGGCAGGGGTAACTTAAGGTCTTTATAGGATCAATAAGGTCTTTTTGGTTGAGCGTAAGGCATACAAGCTAAAGGTCAGTGTACATTAAAACACTTCTTTATGCTCATATAAGATGTAACTAAACTCATTATATTTATGCTCATATATCTTAGTATCTTAAACTTTAGGCTGATCGAAGTCTACCACAGATAGACAACTTAACATTGGAGCGTTTGAGAATTGACCGTAAGGTTTTCCTAAAACCTCATGTCTGGTTTTTTGAGGCCTTTATCCTCGTGTGAGCTATGTTATGTTTTTGTATAGTAACTTATTGTTGCATTACCTAGAAATATCCTCTTCTGAGCTTTGTTATGCTTTAGTACATAAAATAATCTATATGCATACAACATGATCATAAAACATAATTGACTTCAAAACCATACTATTGTTTTGTGATACAATTAACTAAACTTATTGTTGCATTACCTATAATTGTTGATGAAGTGGCGTTAACCTAATTTTCAAAGTGGAAATGTCTTTGAGAAAAACTTATTAACCTGTGTCATTATTAATACTGCTCTTTTTTTTTTCTTCTTCTTTGGGGTTCAGCATCCTGATGATTTACTTAATCCCCACCCTTGCACCTAGAGGGGCAGAATAACACGTAGTATATATTGTCCTTAGCGTGATCTGCTGTATTTAGTATCTTTGAATGTTAAACCTACCATATACAATGAATTCAGTTTACTTTCTCTACTTTTAATCAGATATCAAATGAAATTTGTATGAGGCTTGACTCTCCTTCAATTAAGTCGCTTGGGTAGGCTAATTGATGCTTTCATACTATGTTTTGTCCAGTTTATTTATAACCAGAATTCCAGCTTACTTGCAGGAAGAAATTGGAAATAAAGATTTTAACTGCATATGTTCTTGACAAGATATGCACAAGGTTACTACAAGATTGTACGAAGTATAGTGACTAGCCATCTAACAAATGGTGCATATATGTTGGCGACTCTTATTCAAGTTCCGGCTTTGTGAAGATTTGGATATTTCGGCTTATATATATGTTGACAATTTGTATTTTGGACGATCAAATCAATTATCTAACTTTTATTTATTATTAGTACGGTATGTCATATCAAAAATAGGCAAGTAATATTTTGTAATGTACGTATTTTGCATTATAATTATTACATATAAATGATACTTTAATTTGTTTATGTTAGTATATTTAGATTTGTACTGACTAATTAATATTATATTACCATTCCATCCCAACAAAAAAAAAAAAACCCAATGATCAATCCGTTGTAGTAGATACGTACTCCTACCATTGTATTAATTAGCTTCATCAGTTGCAATAGGTTCAATTTCATCATAATTATTAGTCAGTACTCTATTGCCACGGATAAGTTATGCCGTTGCAATAGGTTCAATTTCATCATAATTATTAGTCAGTACTCTATTGCCACGGATAAGTTATGCCGTTGCAACAGGTATTGGTCTATTGCCACGGATCAATGGTGCCGTGGCATTAGGTGTCATAAGTCGTTGCATTAGACCTACTGCAACGCCAGCAGATGCCACGGTACATGGCCGTTGCATTAGGCCTAATTTCACGGATTTTGATGCCTAATGCAACAGATTTAGGGGTTGCAATAGATCAAAAATGTAGTAGTGCTTTTGAAACCATCTTAGCAGAATTGGAATATAGATTTATGGATTATCTTTTAACCTTTTGAGAACGGTTCTCAACTTTATTTTCAATCAAGGAGATTTTATATTAAAATAAAATTAGAACGAAATATTACTTATAAATAAACGCAAAATTCAATTATGTTTAATAAAATTTAAAGTACCATAAGCGAATTAAAATTGTTAACTTTAAAACACTTCATTCAATTTAAATGATCCCAATTTGAATTAAGTGATTCCAAGACCCTTTAATTGTGCAATAATTGATCGGACTTTGGCCCTACCATCAACCATTACGTTTTCAAGGTGAGTAAACTCTTTACTGATTACAACTCTTGTAACTCTTAGTTGAATAATTAACCATCACATGTTAATTATTACCCTTTGCTTCAAGGTTCTAAACTCTTCAGGTAACCTTGTTTAGTATAACCAATTAAAATTGTAAAACTTGATTTACCCCAACTCACCCAATATATAAAATGACACTCAGCTTTCGCATGACCTATCATAAATATCAAAGGTTTATTGGGTTTATTATTGGAAAAGAAACCTCAATATTTCCGGGACCTAGATTTATTATGTTGTGATTATTTAGTGAACTCTAGCGCATCATCAATCAACATAAAAAAAATCTAACATGCATAATCTACTAATGCATAAATAAAACATGACATAGTATGACCCCTTCATTCTAAGAAAACTAATAAATTAAAACTCCCACTTGAACCTTCATGGATCTCATCCATCTATCTTCTTCGGGCCTTCAATCCATTGGCTTCTTGGATCAAATGCAACCTGTAATACTATTCTATTCCATCTACTACTTAAACAAAATAAATAAAATAAATAAAATACAAAAATACTTAACGGTACGCAAGCCGTATTTAGATTACAAAAATACAAAACGATGTGCAGATCGTATTTAGAATTTATGGGCCATACTAGTGTATTAGCAATAAATAATATCATATATTATAAAGTGCCATATAATAAATGTTCATCAATAAGGAAACATGGCATCTTAATATCTCATATTTAATTATATTACTGCAATTAGAAAATATTATATATTATTCATTACCAATCATAAAATATAATATATTCTATCTTAGGTATGAGATAGAATCAAATATTATTTTAGTTATGGAAGATAAATCTATTTATTTTCCATGATTATCCTAACTAATTTAGGAGATTTTATCCTAATTGCCTATCCAATCACAAAATTTTAAATCAATTATTATCCTAAGATAATTATGGGATAATCATATTATTTTATCGATTATTATCCATATGAAATCTTTTTGCCCAATACTTATTCAAACTTAACAAAATTAACCACTTTAATTTTGATAATTATCTTTTAAAATAAAAACTTATATTTTAATTTTTAAAATATGATTTTATCCAAAAATATTTTTTTATTGAAAATCTGTGCCATCCATCGTGGTGTGGCCAACTGAAGCCAGCCACGGTGGTCGTACACCAGCTGGTGTACGCTGGCACAAACAGCGGCGCGCGGCAGCACCAACAGCGCACGCTACACTTGCATGGCGTTGCTGTTGCTACTCCTGATGTGAACTGCTACCCTACCCTTCCCTCCGGACCACCTGCAGCAGGCGTGGCTGCGCCAACCAACCACGGCTGCTGCACATAAAAACTCATTTTTTTAATTTTAATTAAAATTAAAACAAATCTTTTGTTAAAAAATAAATTAATTTAATGTGGTTAAATTAATTTCAAAATAAAATCATATTCAATCATAAAATTAGGGTTCTTCATGAAATTAATCCCCAATTGAATTTAACTTTAATTAAATAATTTGATCATGAAAAATTCATAATTTAATATAAAATCAAATAGATTAAAATCATAAATCATATAAAAATCGAATTAAATCAAACCAAAATACAAAAATCACAATTTAGGGTTTAAGGTTTCGAATTTTTGAAAATTAGGGTTTGGTGGGGTCGAAATTTTCGAACTTTTGGGGCAAAAATCAGACTTCAATGGACTAATTTTGAGCAAATTAAACAATTTTTAATAATTCCATATGTTAAAACACATTTAAAATAATAATTGACCCATAATTAAATTATTCTCCCCCGTAATTGAATTAAAATTATGGGCATTCAAAGAATTAATAATTCAATATGTGTACATGCATAGGCTAACTGATACCACTGTAGGACTTTAGATACTAATAAGAGGAATTGCATGAATAATATTCATAAGTATCTAAACACCAAGATCAATGCATAACACATAAAGAAAAAATAATAATACCTTTGAAGCGTGAATCCACATGCAATCGAGCAAGAACAACGGGAGATGTAGAACCCCAAGTGTGATTCCTCTACTTAGTCCATAGGCACATATTAAACCTCTACTAATGCTAGTTAGTTGTGATTAAACCCTTTAATCAACCTTCAACGGATAAGAGAGACACAAACTAATCACGATCCACCACCACGAACACCAAGAACCACCTTACGGGTGGTCAGACGTATGGATAGGGAGAGAGAGGGGAGGGCCGTGAGAGTGGGAGAGAGATTAGGGTTTGGGACTTGGTTGCTTGAATTAGAATTAACTAACTTGTGAATTCTCCTATCAATCTAAGTCATGGATCTTATTTATAGATCATATCTCTAAATAAGAGTCCATGTCAAGCCCAAACTCCTTGTCCTAATCAAACTACTCTATCCCAACACTCCTTGCGGTATGTCATGATCTCATGAGGCCCATTAATGGGCCTCTTACTTGTTTGACCCAATACCTTTGTTGTGTGATGACGAGGGGTGGAACTAGGTCGTTGAAACTAATCCTCCCTCGGTCAAACAAAATTTATAAACACTTAACCAACCTAAATACTAGTATAGAGGCAAGTCAAGGGTCGAACCCAAAGGAACGGTAATGTTCGAGCGCTCTCAATTATGTGCCTAAGCTAGGTCGAAGACAAAGGTAAAGAGCGAACACTAACCAACTACCAAACAAAGAAACCAAACAAATAAAGCACTAGGAACGAGGATCAACAAGTAATCATGACAATTGTACCAACTCGGGAACAATATGCAAATCAATGGTTGTGAAGACAAATGGAAAGCTCAATCAAAAGAGTCAACAAGCTATCTCCTAGAGGTCAAACTAGCGTCAACTACGAGAGACTCTAACTAGGAGCATCACTAATAAAGCTTAATCGACAAATGCAGTTCCTAAATCAATGGTGCGTATCATTAGAAACTACAATGCAATCTAGCATAATTCTCAAGGCCTAATCGAATTACACACATGAAAAAATCCATTAATCACTTTAATCTCAACAATTAATCAACGCAATCCCCAAATTAAGCACAATCAATCAATCATACAAGTTTCACCCTATCCCTAGCTAAACAACTACTCAAACATCATCATCAAATCAACAAACAACTAAAGAAATCAAGAATCAACAATATATGAAGAACAACTACACTAATCAAGCATCAAACATCAAAATCAAATCAAACAAACATGAACTAACTAATCAAAGCAATAAATGAGATAGTGTTTAGAAATGCTCATTGATAAGAGAGAAGATCTCCAACACAATTGTCACAATTGAATCTTCAATCTCTCAATCACCATTGAAATTCCTCACTTTCTCTCTCTAAAATCTACTCCTAAACTAACCCTAAAACTAGAGAGAGAATCTCTCAACTAAGCTAAAATTATGAAGTCTAATTCTCTAAAACTTGCCCCAAAAATCGAGTTACAAAGATATATATAGGAGGCGCAAAAAAAAAATCGAGCAAAGAAGTACCAAGAGAGGCGCGGTCGCGCAAGCAGGGGTGGCGCGCCCGCGCATAGGGGCTGCGCGCCCACGCATAGGGGCTGCGCGCCCGCGTTGATCTGGGTTTCTTTGATCTTTTTTGCGGCTTTGTGCGTTCGCTAAGGTCTTTGAATGAATGCGCAACATGATGATGATAAACAGTAAGAGAGGCAGTCCTAAAAGCAATTGATTGTGGGTTCAACACCCCATCTTCATGAGAGCACGACTTGAGAGCGCAAGAACTAGAACTTGGAAAATCCACTTCCTTGCATCTTGAGCTTTCCAATTGCCATGAGCTTGCTCCAAAAGCATCTTCCACCTTAGTAAATCACCAATATGAAGACCCGGACCTCGTAAAATACCTACAACCATGAAAATAGAGCAAATAAAGGATAAAAGAGTAGAAAAACCAACAAAATGCACAAAAGTTACAAAATGAGAGAGAGAGAGAAGGTAAAACCAAGAGCAAAAGCATAAAACTAAACATTTATTAAGAAAGAAAGCTATGAAAAGAAAGTGAAAACAACCTAAATGCTCATCAAATGGGTGCCATTTATGACACCCATCATGTGACCTTGTAGGATCCATTCTATTGGGCTTTAGACTATTTAACTAGCCCAAAGATCATTTGCCACATGTAGCACTAGACAATGACGACCCTATAGAATGAACTAATTATCTCTATAATAGCGATCCTTGATATATCTAGTAATTGCACTTATCGAAGACATAATTCCTTCACGTATTATTTCCTAGATTAGGGTGTAGGTATTAGTAATTACGTTTTGG